GTTCGCTCCTATTCCGTAGTTGGAAGCATCGGCAGCTACGATGATCGGTAGAGCCGGGTCGTAATGAGTCAGCAGGAGATCCGAGCTGAGTGTTGCCTTGATCTTGTTGAAGGAAGTTTTGCACTCCGGTGACCACTTGTAGACAGCATCCTTCTTCGTAAGGGCGTCTAGCGGAGCGCGAAGATCGTGCAGATCCTTGACGAAATTGCCGTAGAAGTTGATGAGTCCGAGAAAAGCGCGAAGCTGGCTGACGTCTGTTGGAGCGGGCATCTTCTGTATGGCTTTGATCTTGTCCGGATCAGGGCGTCGTCCTTGCGCGTTGATGACGAACCCGAGGTAGGTGATTTCTGTCCGCAGAAATGTGCATTTGTCGAGTCGAACACGGAATCCGTAGTCCTGGATTCGCTTGAACACTGCTTCCAGTCGAGTGTTGTGTTCGTCCGTGGTTCTGCCGGTGACCAGTGTGACGGCAGTCCCATCTGTTCCAACGATGAGTGTGTCCATGCACTGTTGAAAGATGCCTAGGTGCGGGCTTTACTCTCAAACGGTAGTCGATTGAAACGGTAGAGTCCACGGTGCGTATTGATTGTCAGCAGCTTCTTAGAGTCGTCGTCCACTTCCAACTGGAGGTATGCTTCGGCAAGGTCGAGTTGAGAAAAAGTACGTCCTCCGTTGAGTTTCGTGAAGATGTCGTCTGGGGTTGGAAGTGGGTGCTGGTGCTGTTCCAGTGCGTCGTTCAGTCCAGTTGAGTAGTCTGCGCATAGTCGGATCGATCCATTTTTCTTCTGAACGGCGACGATTGGTGCTGCCCATTCTGAGTGGTCGATGGGCGTCAGGACGTGTGTAGACACCAGGCGATCGATTTCGTTCGAAATCTTCGGCATAGCAGCGTATGGAACAGGGCGAGCCTTCAGGAACACAGGCTTCGCATTGGGCTTCAGCAGTTTAGCAGTCGATTTGGTGCACCTTCCCAGGCCAGGTGTGAAGACAGCTGGGAACTTCTCCGTCAGGCGCGTAGTGAGAGAAGTGTTCAGTGTGCTGAGCATCTTTGACGATATGTTGTAGATCGATCCTTCCGTTAGATGACGAAACAGTTGCTCGTGTTGGGCAATCCACTCTAGGCCCAATAACGATGGCGTGTCGGCTACATAGCAGGTACCTCGTCCTCGGTGACCATCAATGACGAAAGTTTGCAGTCGTAGCGTCCTCGATCTTTGATCCTTGTCGTTAGCAGACGTTAATATGTCAAGCGTAGAGGAGACGTGTAGACTCGGAACGGAACAGGCAAAAGAGCAGTCACAATCTAGCTTCGCACAGTGGAATTCAACGTACTGACTGCGCAGTGTCAGAGAACGCGCAATTCATCTCGTCCCCATTGATTTCACGGGCAGGCAGATGCGTGTACGGAGAGCGAGATCAGCGTGAAGATGGAAGCAATGACGACGGTTTGCTGGCAGCTTTCGGTTTGCGAGTTAGCATTTCTTGCCATCCTCTTCCCTGTTGAAGTTTATCAGATGCTGCTGTGGCCGCTCGCTTCTCACCAACCCCGGTGGCAGCGCCATTCTTATAGGAGAAGGAACAATTACTGATCGACTAGTTGATATGCCGCGTAACAGTATCGAAAAACAAGGAAAAAGGTCGACTCGCGGAGTCGACGGCGTTGACGTGAGGTGGACCGGCTCGTTCGAGTAGTGCGGCATCCTGGCGAATGTCGAGGAATTGCTGGATCTCAGCGGCGAGCTCCTTTAGCGTTGTTCTTGGATTGTCTCCATCTTGCGGAGAGCACGTGCTCGTATGTCGGTGTCTTCAGGGGCGACCAATCCGCTTATCCACCGAGCATTTCATATGCTCTGGTGTGACGTCGTTGAACTTGTCCATTGTGTCGTTGATTGACAACTCATGTATAGTCTCGAAGGCTCTCAGCGCTACGCTGAGGAAAAAAGATGTATTGTGGCCGAACAGTTCCTTCAGGATTGCCACAGTGTCTTCCAGGGCAACGTCGCATGCCCTTTTTGGGAGGATGTGGTTCGTGAACCGTGCGTAATGTGACGGCGTCGAGTTTAGAGACGATTAACCGAGCCTTCGCTGCGTCGTTTAGCGTGGCTCCATCCTTCGCGATGACATCCTTCGTATCGATTGAACCAGACTTCGAATGTGCAGCCATTGTCAGGATCGTAGACGAATTCGGGGAGAGAGCGAGTTCGTGACGAACTCGGCTGTTGAAACGGGAGCTGTCGGAAGTGCGGCTGCTTCCATGCGATCGATCAGTTCATTGACATCTGCTGTTGCATCCTTCTTCGTGCATCGAGAATGTACGTAATGTTTCTGCTTTCATTCTCAGTGTCGTAGTTTGATGCCTTCGTTAATACAGTACCTGACGCTTCATAGTCCTCCTAACAGGATTATCGAGCGTGATCGATCAGTAGGTCAAGACTGATCGATATGTCAATCACGCGCACAGCGACTGAGGGCTCACTGCCGGGGCTGAAGGCTTCGACTCAGCAGCTCGACCGGGCAGAAAGCGGGCGCTGTTTTCAGGAATCGATCAGCAGTTCGACCGGGCGTGAAGCCGGGGCTGATGTCCTTCTTCTTGGACTCGACCAGCAGTTCGACCAGGCTTGAAGCCAAGGCTGGAGTTCTTCTTCTAGAAAAAAGTGGTCCGTGTCGTAGTCCGCTAAACGCCAGTTGTTGTGGATGTTGTTGTAATCTCTCCCCTTCATAAGTTTTTCTAAAGTCTGCTCGCGTGCGTGGAAGAGGGTACGTGCCTGGCCGGATAGGCACGGTGCGGGGCGAGCCTGTTTTTCACCGTTGTCAACGAGAGCACACAGAAGTATTTTCATTATCGTTTGTATCAGTTGTTTTCCCTAGATGCGCTCGCTTACTGATTTGAGAACACCTCGCAAGGTAAGGTGCGTTCAATTCATTGATTGCATTGGTGCAATAATCCGTTAGCACTTCCGGACCGACGCCTATTTCGCGTGGCATTCACGTGTGACCGCGGCCTTTTTCGATGCGAGGCTGGCGTGACACACATGGTGTGTCATGCGGCCACACGGGGCCGCATGACGCGATTTTTTCTTCTCACTGATTATTTTACCCTGGAAAATTGCCCATGGGGGTTCTCTTACATCCCAATCACGAGTGTGGCATTCGTTTCGGCGCTGGCGCTACTTGGTGCCACCAAGCGCCAGTTTGCAATCGACTCGGTTCACGAATATCACCTAGGTTTTCATTTGGTATTTTCGTTGATATGCGAAATGTGAAAGGATTCATTGGTAAAGCACGTGCTGAAATAACAAAACTTCAACTTCAGCTTCAAAAAACTTCAGCTGCATGTAGAAACGTTCTGACAAGACAAATGGTCCTCTTCACCTCTCATTCATTAAACAGCTTTCTAACAATAACCCATCTTCCGCAATCTGAAGGATCATGACGAACTTGCACCAAACTGCGCCAAATGGCGCCAGCTTTACAAACGAATGTCAATTTTGCAATCGGAATCCTTGATCATCCCTCAAACGCATGTTTCCTCAATTGGATATGGTGAAAAAGGCCGCGGCGCCAAACTGGCGCCCAATGGCGCTGTGTGGAGCGGACGCTATAAAGTGTGCCATAATCATGATCGCTGATAGACTAATCTTCTGGACACTGAATGGTTAGCAGATCAGTCTATCAGCAAATTGTTCTATGTGCGATGCATTTCTAAAGCATGGTGTTTTATGAATTACTTACACTTTTAAAAAACGTTTTACAAAGAAGTTGTTGGAGATTTATTTGGCATGATTTTATCGTCCATATACGCGAGTTCGTACCCTCACAGAAACTTATAACAGCTCTTGAACTTCTGAAGATTGTGACAAACCATTTGTGTCATACGGCCACAGGGAGCAGACATGTATGACGCACCATGTGTGTCACGCGGTCCGGAATG